AAAAAACATCTTTTTCTCACTGAATAATTGTTTTATTAACATATGTAATCTATAGCTCATTGCAACGTGGTTCATTTGACTCGCTGTGTAAAGTTATGGATGCTAAACTTAGATGTGGAAGTAAATAAATGCAATGCCAGCAAAAATGCATTGAATAATAAGAAGGAAGAAAAAGTGAAACAATAGTCATGCTGTGTTGCCTCAGTTGCGCTTATGATATACATTATTTATCCTCACGTCATTGTCACAGGAGACGATGCCGATGGGGGGATGGTGTTGCTCACCCCTTCCATCCCTAAGCCTTCTGTTCCCTCCAGAGAGCCTGGCGTGGGCTGTCACAGGGTGGAGCGGAGACCTTGAGAGGGGCGGAGCCCAGCCTGTGGAGGCTGGATCACACCATTGCCCCATGTTCAGCTGTTTCCCCTTCACAGGAATGTACTGAAGATACCATCCACGTGGCCCAATCAATAAGCTGCTTTGAAAAACAGGCATTCCTTGGAAGGAAGATGGGGCAATCTACTTCCGTAGTGATAGTGTCTTGGAATCCCAAGGAGGGGTCGCTGTGAGTTGGAGATGACTCAGCGGCACATAGCAACAACAATGAAATGGTTGAACGTTGATTGTGGTACAGTGACCCTGTGTTCCTTCCATCTTCTTTTGATGCTTCCTGCATTGTTCAATCTTGTGCCTATACAATCCTTCCATGTTGCGACTTTAGGATTAAGTTTTTTCTTCAGTTCTTTCAGCTTGAGAAGTGCTGAGAATGTTCTTCCCTTTAGGTTTCTAACTTTAGATCTTTGTACATTTCATGATAATACTTTGTCTTCTCGAGCCATCCTTTGAAATCTTGTGATCAGCCCTTTCCCTTCATCATTCCTTCTGTCCACTTTAGCTACTCTATGTTCAAGGGCAAGTTTCAAAGTCCCTTCTGACATTGTTTGGGACTTTTCTTTCTTTCTTGTCTTTTTAATGACCTTTTGCTTTCTTCATGTATAATAACATCCTTGATGTCATCCCACAACTAATCTGATCTTC